TATGGACAAAAAACCTAAGCAAGTTGTACCTTTTAGCATGTATATCGGGATTTAGATAATAATTCTGAAAAATATTTGATACACAGTAACCTTTATTGAAGACACACGAGATAACCAAATGTAAACAAAATTGCCTCTGCTTCCTTATGAAAAAATAGATGACCAAGAGATTAAATACTTTCCATTTCCTTAGGTTTTGACTATGAATGAAATATAATCCATTTTCAGAACATCCATCCATAAGAAATACTAGAGATTTCACCAGTCCTTCGTATCTCAATAATGCAATAAGGAGCTTCAGCTAGTACCATCGGCTTCAGCACATTCATAGAAAGAATCAATAAACATAGTTACACAGTTGCTACCAATTCTCATATCCGAACTTATAGTTGAACAGTTGATCTTCTAGTTTCTAGGCAAAGAAGGAAATGAAAAACTACACTGTTATTGATTCTCTTTAATAAACTTAATTTGTATTCAAATCAAGAATATAAAATGCCAAAATTTCTAGGAAGTAAATAAACAAGTCATCAAAATCATTTTATTTATGAATATGAGGACCAGATAATGGAATAAGAAACAAGCTAAAATTGATTATACGATTAAAATACTAATTTATCTTCCAGGTTTCTATAAAGTATTAAACCTCAACAAAAATATGTTTCACATAGATATATCAAATTAGAATATATATTATAAATGTATAAAGATTCAATCCCTTAATCAGATAAAATAACTTATTGGGCAAAAGGCTTACTATAATTATTCCAACACATGAAAATGCTAATATATGAATTTGAGATATACAAACTCGAAAATAAAAAATGTATAATGAAAAATTCATATCGTTATCTTTCACTGAATATTGCTATTGATAAAACGATATCTTAAGTTAATGATTAAACTTTATTACAGAATATTGGCCTAAAATATGTTTACGATAAATCAAGAAAAGCCAAAAATTGATGCGTTTCCAGCCGTTAGCCTTTGGCCACTCTTTGCAAGCCTATACTCAAACTACCTATCTCTCAAAGTAGTCATTGAAATTTCTGATTTCTCAGTGAAAAGCTATTTCAATCTAGAATATTCAGAATTCCTTAGTATAACTATAAATCAAGAACATACATAATTCAATAAACAAGAAAATATGATTCAATATATATATTTATTTATTTATTCAAGCAAGTATAGAATAGTGTTCAAAACTATTCAAATTGAAGTGATGGACTCTCACTATTAAATAAAAATGAAGAAAATATAGTTTTTTAAAAATGGTTTAAAATAAAATATTATATTTAATATATAATAAATTATAAGAAGAAAAGTAAAGAAAAATGAAACAAAGTAATATTAAGAAATAATTACAAAAGATGAAATCTTTCAATCGACTCTCATTCCAGTAATATTTCATTTGAAACCTTTTCAAGTACTCATATTCTGTTAATGAGTATATACACTCATGGAAAAACTTAAGGAAGTGAAGAGTCTTTTATTACGCCCCAGGCATCTTTTTTTTGATTGAGACAGAGGCAATTTTGTTCACACTTGCTTATCTTGTGTGTCTTCAATATAGGTCACTGTGTGACAAATATCTTTCAGAGTTATTGTCTGAAAAACGATATATATGCTAAAAAGTACAACTTCCCTAAGGTTTGTCCGTGAGTGTAATTTTAAACAAAATATTTTAACTGGGTACCATATGATTAGAAAGATGATATCCAAATATTACTAAACTGATTGAGAAGCGGAATAAATGAAAATGATCTATTTGAGACCTGAGAATTTGAATGTAACAAAGATAAAGAAGTCAAAACTATAGAAAGTGATTTAAAGAATAAGTCAAATGCCGTTAATAAGGTCAGAACTGAGAGATGACTGACTTCTATATAAAACTTCTATTTACTTTCTAAAAATATTATTCAATTAATCAGGAAGAATATTCAAATATAAGATTACAAAATATTTTATGACGGGAGAGGCGCCCTGTGCTTCTATGGATCAATTTCCTCCCGGCAAATTTTCCATCATTATTCTAGCCATAGATTTGGCCTAGCCACCTTGCCAGCAAAACACCTCTTTGGTAGATTTTGAAGATTCCATTAGATCCCTTGTGGATCTCATGGAATAAAGTCCGCCCTAGACTGACGAGGGCCATTAGCCCGAAACCATGGTCTCTAGGTGGACGCTTCTCAGTTTGCCAAAGCTGGTGTTGTGGCTTTGTCACCGACCCGAGGCCGCTAGTTGCGGCGACGGTCAATAGATGGCGTCAGTTTTTGACCTTTATTTTGACGGGAGAGGTGCCCTGTGCTTCTATGGAAAATATTTCCTTCATCTATTTCTTTTTAAATTAATTTATTAATCAACCTGGCGCGATATTGAAATATTTGCGCCTAATATAGAGGAAACAAAACAACAAACAAATTAGAACTTAGAATTAAATAATCACAAATTTACATGTATTATTCTACAGAGTTCATAACATTTATATAGACAAAGTGGCTGAAGTGAAAAAAAAGTTAGATTATTTAAATTAGGAACAAACGATGTCTCACTTCTGTAAAGTCCTTTATCTCTTGGAATCACAACATTCTTGTCTGAATCAGGTAAGTACCCCTTTTCAAACTAGTGGCTATCATGTCATTTATAGAAATGAAAATTGGAAAGATGCAGTTTGTGTTTTAAAGATAAAAATATGCTTCAATTTCAAAACCTTTATACACTAATGGACAAAACTTATGGAAGTGAAAAGTCTTTTATATTCGTCTATATTTTTGAAGGAGGACAGATACAATTTGTTCACACTTGGTTATCTCGTGTGTTTTTAATTAAGGTCACTATATGTATCAAATATCTTTCAGAGTTATTACCTGAATCACGATATACATTGCAAAAGTACAACTTCCTTAAATTTGTCAATGAGTGTATTTTGTTCAATTTTATGAGAATTATGTTCATATTTTGTTACCTTTCGTCTTTCTAATTTTACCTAAACTATATATTAGAAACAAACACACAAGCCTTTCCTAAGACATTCCGTCTTAAACAGACGATTCTCCTGTGAGTAATGGATCCACATAGAAATGAGAAGCAGGTAAGAAATGGCATCCTCGCTCAGAAAAGAGAAAAAGAAAAAAAGGCTGAAGGAGATTTTATATAGAAAAATAAAACAGGGAAAGAATATATATGTACAAACGTTGAGACTATATACATCGTTACTATATATTAGAAACACGAGGTAATAAAGCCAAATCTAAATACATAAATAATGTGTGACGTTTCGGTAACAAAATATTTTTCTCTGATAGTGGTAACAACGTTGTTACCTAAGGTCACATGCTATTTACTATTTATTTGGATATGGTTTTATTACTTTGTTTTTCTAATCCAAATTGTACCTTATCATCAAAACATGTTGTTATAACAGTATTCCTTACTTCTCAAAGCCTCCTTTCTAAGATAAAATCATATTTCGGAAACGTTTAGTTTTGTCATTTTTCTTAACAAGAGTCAAAGTTCTTAGAGGCATATACATGTATATATATTTAAAATAAAGCTTTTAATAAAGTCCTTTTTTGTTTAATCGACATGGTTTTATATCATATGATTTCTCTATTAAAAAGTTATATTCATTTCTACTTTGTAACACGAACCATATTTAGACATTTTTAGAAATATCATTGCTCATATGTTTCAATATTTAGAGTAAATGGGTTAAAGAAGTTGAAATTTGGCATTTTTTCCAACAGAACTACTAATACCCCTTTAAACGCAGTTGTAAATCATTATCTTTCACAACATTCTGCAAGAAAGACGATGAAATAAATTTAAATTTTATTAAAAATAAAAATATTATTTCTGGGGAAACTTAAGTCTACACTAATAATAACTAATAAAACAATTCCCTCCTTTAGCTAAAAATATATTGTTAAAAATAATTAGAGCTATACTGAATTTGTGTGTTTTTAAATGAGCAATCAAACACATTATCAATAAACAATATATTTTATTCGAACAAATGTTACCTAGAAATATTTGAATAAAGAAAACTAGCTTTTGAACGAAAAAGAGCTTTATTTGAGGTTCTTGAAAATAAAGATACTTTATAACAAAGGCAGACGCATTCTACTTCACCCAGTCATGATGGTTGTCAAACAGACACCATCAAGAGTCACAACTTGATTCTCTAATATGATTGAGTGGAGATAAGAAAGAAGAAGAAGAAATTATTTTATTTTTGAAAATATTTTTGTCAAAATGTCGAGGTAATAAAAAGATTTGCTGGCCGAAGTATCTTTATTTTCAAGAACTATGAATGCTGGCCAGGGAGCCTCTTTCTTTATTTGAGGTGTTGCAAACTTTAAAGAAAATTCTGCTTTTCACCAGACAAATAATTTCCTTTAATTTCTCTGGCTTAAGGATAATCTTGTTGTCTTATTTATTATTATATGCCTATTGACTATCAATATTTGCTCGAATACTTGAAACACCTAAAAATTAAAGAAACTCATTGCCCAAAAACTAGTTTTTTTATTCAAATATATTTTATTCCTTTTATTAAAGTCTCATGGAATGAGAAGTTAACTTTGTTAAGAAAATATGTCTTTATCTAACATTTGAGAATGTGAATTATTTGACATATTTCTTTTTAGAAATTCTGATGTATTATTGAAGCTAGTAAATCGGATTTCTTTTTTGAACATTTCAAAAGTTCTCGAGTTCTATCACTATTAAATAAAGTGGAAATAAAAGCTCAATTTTAATTTTAATTTATTGTCTCTTTATCATAAAAAAGAAAATATACAAAATTCTATCATACCTGAGATTAAAAAGACTTAATTAAAAAAAAATTAAAAAAAAACATCTTAAAGAAGATCTCGAATAACAACACCATGTTACAACATTGGCACCTCAATGAAATACCGCTTCTAAAAATCCTGGTTACCTCTGGGTCCGAAGAATATTCCATCTTTGTAAAGGAGAGTGTTAATCGTCTAAAAAAATGGCAGCTATAGGATCCGAACCTACGCCTTCATTAAGATTGGTGGTTAAAACCAGCGCCTTAGACCATTCGGCCACGCTACTTTAAGAGAGACAATGACAATTGACATAGTTTTATTGACCTCTTGTCAATACATGTAAAGTGCACAGTCCGCACTATTTATGTGATAATGAGAAAGAGAGAGAGAGAGAGAAGTGTAGCCTATAATTACATATGAAGTCCAAAAAGGGTATGCAAATATACAAGAGGGAATATAGAATCATATAAGGACTGGACACAAGAGGTACATAAGGAAGACACAAGAAATATATAAAAAGTAGACAAGAAGTATAAAAGGAGACAAAAGAAGTTGACGCAGAACAAGAGAAGGTATTATGTTCTCAAACGTATTATGTAAAAAGAAGTAATCAGGTGAGGAAGCAGGGAAAATAACCAAATAGCGCCCATTGAACTATTCGTGTTAGTCAAAATTCCCTTCTAAATCCATGCTATACGTCGAGACCTTAACATATTGATTGTGGGTTCAGCCATTTCCAGAAATTATTGGAGAATTTAGGTATGAAATGATTCATTTCATACCGATGTTAAAGTCAATGTTAAACGACAAAGCCGTGACCATAGAAACGCCAAAGGAGTGTAAAGGACTTAAGGCATGAGGCAATAATAAGAACAGGTCCCTCCCATAATACTAGGGGAAACAGATTGGGACATGTGACCCTGGTCAAAACTTTCCTTATAAAGAAATTCCTATGTATCTAGGTGTGGCACTTAACTGACAGATAATGGAGAAGTGGGAAATCCGTTCGAAGACCTTCTGTTTATGGCCATTTCTTCACCTTTTGATGGCAAATACGCAATGTCGTAATCATTTGGTAACGTAACTTAGAGAAATTCGGCAAGCAACGAATCTATTCATTATATTTGTTCCTTTTTAAAACTTATATATAACCCTATATACTTTTTTCTGATATTTTCGTCAAAATCTTTTTGTTTCTTAATAAAATCAAAATTTTATTGGAATCATTTCTCAGATTCTCTCTGACAACAATTTCCTTCATATTCCTTTCGGTTGGAGTTAAGGGTTTTTTCAGGCACCTTTTTTCACATAAAAATATTCCCCCTTAATTTAATAAATATATAATATTTTCTTTATTTCTTTAGTAATAGCAATATTATATATTTTTCATAATTATCTGAACTCTTCGGAAAGTCTGAAAATGTACCCTTTTACAAGATAACACTTATAATGTTAGACATTTCGAATATTTAAAAATCGTTTTTCTTAAGATATCAATCATTGCTTGTTTTTACGAATAAATAAAACATTCCTCGAACCGTGCGCTTCTTTCGCGAGAGCTGCAGCGTAGCAAAATATTTCTTTTTAAAAATCAATAATCATCATTAGATCACAATTTCGCCCATACCCAAATCTGCGGTTGTAAGGAGTTGTGAAGTAGAGATGCTATAGACAAGTATTACCTTTGCATTCCAAAATCTCCAGCTTATAAATATATAAATCAACGGAAATTCTGCAAGGCTGCAGTCACCGTTCGGAGATTAATAGAATCGCCGAATGTCGTGGTCTATTTGGATGAAGAAAGCGAAAGACTAGCATGCGGCTGATTCCACACTCGCCTTTTCAGTGCCTATGCTTAACCTATGCACGGTGGATTCTGTGGCCACTTGAGATGCGTCGGACCTGGAAAGTATTGGGTTCTGCCCTGCCTGGAGTATAGGAACTCCATCTATGCTTCCTTCCTATAGTGAATCTGTATAAGACCGGTGGTCTCTTAATAAAGCTGTATGTGTGTATATAAATCAACAGAACCCAGAAAACCATTCTCTGATTTAGTATTAGAAGGATCTATACCTCGACATGCTAAGTTCTCTTCATTTATCAGAATCAATATTTTATTAAAGAAAATTCCGGGAAAGGGCAAATCAAGACCAATAAAAACAAAGACTAGCAAATGCATGTAACATCTCTCAACAGACCCAAATATAATGCAGAAATATCTTTAGCTTATTCAGTATTCGCCAATGTTAGGCAAGATGGTCTCTCAACTTTAACCTCGCTTATCCCCTCCTATCCAATTGAGACATTTTAATTCCTTATAAGGAAGTGAAACATCCTTTACGAAATTCTCTAACTATTCCCAAACTATGCGGAATATATGAAATATGATTTTTTAGATACATTAACAGACTATATCGTTTCTAGATAGTGGGCTATCCCCATATATCACGATATTTCAAGATATGGTAGGTAAGTGTGATCTTGCGATATTCCTAAAAGAGCCTCAAAGGATGCAGTGGTGAAACCATCGTTAGAATACACCGCTGATGAACCATTTCAAGAAATTTATAATTGAAGTTGAAGTAGTAGGAAATTGTTTATGTTTTATGTAGAACTTAAACTAGAGCATTAAATTATTTGCCCTAAAATTTTCAAATTGAATGCTTTCAAAACCGAAAGTAAGTATGATTGGCGATCCAATATATCTTACGATGGTAAAAGAGGTGTACCTGTATCTGTGTGAAGTAAAGATAATACATTTAATTTTTAGAAGGATTTCAAATACTCTAAATTATTCAAAATATTTTAAATTGAATATACATTCACATATATCTCTAATTTATGATTTTTCTGGATGCATGAATGACCAGTTTTTTGGTCGTTGAGGTACAGTTTGCACCAACGTGATGAGGGCCAAGAGCCCGTACGTGGTTAGCTTTTCTTGATTAATTAAGAAAGGGTATTTGGCAAATTCGGTAATAATTAAAAATCAATGAGAATAGTTGATATTTATTACGATTTTCCTTTTCATATATCTCAAATTCGCTTCCTATATTATCCAAAATTAAAACTTTTAATATTTTAAACAATTAAGCATAGGAGTGATTTGGTTTAGGCAATTTACGTGCCCTATTTTTCTCCATAATCAGATCATTCAAGGACAGTCGTTGGACGAATTATTATTAAGATCATTATTGCATGTTCGATATAACATAACCTTTGTTGCCATATCCTGCCGGCAAAATTTCCATCTATATTTTAGCCATTGATTTGGCCCAGCCACTTTGCCAGCTAAATACCTCTTTGGGAGATTGTGAAGATTCCATTAGATCTCGTGTGGATCGTTTTGATGCATATTTAAGTGGAGAGATGCCTCATTTGGTACATATAATTTGCCCTTGTCACTCAGGGGTACAGACTTCGGTTTAGGTAGCCCATTATTCAATGGT